AAACCCATGTCGAGCATTCTATCAGCTCATCGATAACCCAAAAAGGTGCATCTGTTCATGTTGGTGATTTGTCTTGAAATGAAATCAATGAGTCTTCCAGGGGTAGCGATTAAAACATCAACTCCGTTTCTCAGGTTTTCCCATTTGCATTCTTGATGGGGCTCCTCCAAACACAGAAGCGATTTTAATCCCCGACCCCTTTGTGAATTTGCGCGCTTCGTCTTCTATTTGACTCACCAACTCTCTTGTGGGTGCTAGAATCAAAACAGTGGGTCCCTCTCTTGATTGTGCAAGTGGTTTGTTAAGCAAGTGAACAATTCCTGGAAGAAGATAAGAAATGGTTTTACCCGAACCAGTCTCCGCAACACCAACAACGTCCGTCCCGCCTAAAACAATTGGCCAACCCACAGCCTGAATTGGCGTTGGGTTAGTGAATTTCTGTTCGGCAAAGACATTCTTAACAAAATCTGGGAATTTAACATCGTCAAAAGAAAATATAACCTTTGGGGTTTCGTCTCCTTTTACAGTCACCAAATTATTCTTAAGGTATTCAGCGATATTCGTGTTTGGATTTTGTACAAACGTATCGGAAAAATCCTTTTTGATTGGTGGAAGCACATTCAAGTCGAAGTTGATAGGCTCAAGCTTCTTCTGCGAAATGTTTTCGTACCTGTTAACGACGTTATTTTGTGGGCGGTAATCTCTTCTGTCGTCTCTTCTATCATCGTAACGTGTGTCTCTACGATCGTTGTATCTGTTATCGGAGCGGTGATCGTCTTTATATCTGTCGTCATAACGGTCATCATAACGATCTCTACTTCTCGATCTACGTCTATCGTCGTATTGGTATCTTTCTCTTGAACGTGATCTTTCACGATAACTCATAGTGCTTACTCAGTTTTTAGGTTTAGGTTTCGATCCCATTTTTTTGGAAAATTTGAAAATTTTCCTTTTTTCTCTCATTTTTTTTCACTTATCTGCATTTTTATTCCATTATTTTGTAAATTGATAAGATTTTTTTTTACAAATAATAATCTTTTTTTTGGAAAATTATATTTTTTTTATTCTAAAACCCTATGATTTTTTTTTGTTTAATTATTATATTATATTTAATGGTTTGATATGCTATTATTTATTGTAATTTGTTTTTTTCTTATTCCATTGAAGTCAACTTAAATCCAAATTAAATAATTTTAACTTTTTTTTAAACAATAGAATAATTAACCATAAACTAATACTTAAGATATACTATATGTTGGCTATCTATTTCACAAAATATATTTTTTAATTCACAACTAATAAAAAATAACTACTATATATACATACTATAATAATAAAATATAGTTCTTAGAATTTTACTATATATTAATAGTATAAATTATTAAAAAAATCGATCAATAAACCCTGTTCATTTCTTTCCTGTTTTCTTTGCGACCTTCTTTGTAGCTTTTTTGTCAGCGGTTTTCTTCTGGACTTTAGGCTTAGCTGATCCTGGTTTGTTTTGAGTGAATACCTTTTCGGTATCAGCGAAGGAGACGACCTTAACGCCATGAGCCTTCAACAAAGTGTATCTCTTCAAGATAGCGTTATATCTCTTTTTCTCAGCGCTCATGAGTCTTCTGTGTTCAGCCTTTAATCTCAACATCCTAGCCTTTCTTTGAATTCTTTGTGGGGTGACAAGTCGTTGAATCTTTGGAGCCTTTGATCTGATTTTGCTCTTTCCTTCCTTTGGATGCTTTTTGACGACGTCTCTTCTAATGACAAACTTTCTGACGTCTTCCTCTTTCGACAAATTGAAGAGCTTTCTGATGTTCGAAGCTCTCTTAGGTCCAAATCTGAGTGGGAGGGGGTTATTAGTAACTCCGTCCAATTCGGCGTCTCCCTTCTTAATAAGAACAGTGTTGACTACAGCAATGTCTTGAGCAATGATATCACCTCTGACGGTCTTTCTCTTTCTATCACCTTTTCTAAGTGGTTTGTAGCATCCAGTCGTCCCGTCCAAAAGAAGTCGAACTCTATTGTTCGTCGCAACTCCGGTCATCATAGGGAAGCCATCCTTATCTGACCCTCCTGTGACCTTCAAGATGTATCCCTTGAACTCGTCGCCTAACCCTGAAGCATCAACTTCTTGTCCAATTCTCTTATCCAAGAACCCTCTGAATTGTTTCTCTTCTTCAAAGTCAAATTTCTTGACACGTCCTGTGACCGGGTTTGCAATGTTGATCTTCTTGTCATTGTTCAATTCCTTCACTTCATCTTAGACAAACAAACCTTCATCGAAACGACAACTTTTCAAGGTCTTTTTTTTTAAAGTTCACTAGCAGGGTTCTTTACTAGTCTTTCTAGTTCTTTTCCTACTAACTCTAGTTTCTTCCCCTTTTGCAACTCTTCCTTTGGTTTTAATTACAACTCTTTTATAATAAAATTAACCAGAAGTATATCATTTGTCAACTGAATTAAAGGCTCATTGATTGTCTTCCACTACCTTCACAAGCAACTCCTCAAGCTTCTTGTGATCGATCTCAGTGATCCATATCTGCTCATTCCCTATATGATAATTCCCAAACCAATCAACTACAGTCGCACCTCGACCCATCCCATCTACACAAACACCAGTCTGGACTGTTATAGTCTTCTTGACTATTTCAGGGAACAAATAACACATCAAACAGAGGGGATCGGGGATGTTCCACCCTATATATTCCTTACGATCACAAAACCCCGTCGTTCTGAACCGGTCTTCCGTCAATTGATAGACTTTCCCAATCAATTCGCCGCATTTGTTTGCCTTTCTCACACGATCAAAGACTTTCCAGTCGACGAGATGCTTCAGTGTCAAATCCCACGAGCTAATCGTCGCATTCTTTGCAAGAGAAAACACTAACTTCGCAGCATCAGCATCATACGCACAGTTAAATTCACCCATTGGTACTATATTCCCTCGTCCTGTCTCAGACCCAATCATCATTTGGAAGTGTCCAATTTTGTCCAGTAACTTGGGGTCTAATGTTAGTGCTATTGCAATATTAGTTAACGGGCCTATGGTGATGATGTCTAAGTCTTTCCCATACTTATTCACTATATCAATGATCTCCAGCGCAGCATGCCGAGTACTTCGTGGCTTGACTTGTGCGTCGGCGACTTGTGCATTCCCAAACCCGTCAGCCCCATGTCCCAGCCACCTCTCCATATGAACGTGAAGCAAATTGGTTTGAGCTCCCGCGTAAAACGGAATGTCTGTTCTTCCTACGGTTTCTAAGACTCTCCCGACGTTGTTAACAACATGGTCTAATGTCGTGTTCCCAACAACACAAGTGATCGCAACTAAATCAACCTTCTTTGACATTATAGTGAGGAGAATCGCTGTCGCGTCATCCACTCCGCAATCGGTGTCTATCAACAACTTCCTCATCACTCACTTTTCTAGTTGAATTCTTTTTTATAGTTTGTACTAGTTTATTATAGTACATTGATAATGGAAAAGTTATATACTATTTTGAATAAGAAGAAAACAACAATCAGAATCAAATAGTAATTTGGCTGTATTCTCATCACTCGTTTGGGATCTCTTGTGGAGTCTTCCC